TGACAGTTTAGAACAACATCTAAAATCTATTTAAAGCTGTCCTTATTGATCTGGGAGGAAATCAAAAAGAAGCTTCCTTGTTGGAAGCAAATTGCTGATTTCCACATTCCTTTGATCTGCGCTTTAGGTGGAATAAAGAATTTGGACTTAGCTGGGAACTGAACAGGTAAATTTGGCCTCAAAAAAATAGCATGGTGGTCAGTCAAAAAGAGCTGAGATGGTGGTTTTGATGCTGTTGTTAGTTAAGAGGGTAAGAGCCAACTCAAGAGCCACTGAGACCAGCTGGAGTCAATGCAGAGCTGTGAGGTCTTGAAAGAGGATGGAGGTGAGCACTGAACTGACTGCACAGAGACCTGGGTGCAGCAGAGTCAGTCCTGTGCCTTCCCCCAGACCCCATCTCACCTGCTGCTCAGGAACATCAAGGGTGTTTTCCTTACTCCCCTTCAGCAGATTAGGGTGTATAGTAAATAATTCCAGAGGACCTTTAACTTGTTAGCTGTGAAGACACAGAACTGCCCTTACTGAATGATAAGCAGAAAGAAAATGCGCCTTTTCTGGATGGCAAAGAGGAAAGGTGAGTGTTGTTTTGTTTGATTACAGACATGGACGAGGTCAACAGTGCAGGACAGTCTGGTACTGAAGGATCCCATCAGCTCTCTGGAGCCAGGAGCATTTAAACCCTTATCTTTGTTCACCTGGCCTTATCAGGTGCTGCCAGTTGTCAGATAGCCAGTAAACAAAAGTTGTTCAACAGCCTCTGTGAAACAGGTCATCAGATTCAATCTGGTTTTTAGCAGACAGACACTCTGCTCAGTCTCTGCTCAGTGCTGAGGTGCTTTGATCCAGGGAGCCCTGATCCTGCAGAGATTCCAGCTGGTGTCAGTGGGGATGGAGTTGGTTCTAGCACAGCTCGTGCTAGTGTAGCCTTCAAGGGAAATGGAATTTGTCCATGAGCTAAAAAATACGTGTTTAACATTCACTTCTGAAAATTACAGAAGGCAGCCATGGAAGATGTGAATCCTGCTGATGACCCCAACAATCAGGGAGAAGATGAATTCGAGGAAGCTGAGCAAGAGAGAGAAGAAAACCTACCAGATGAAAACGAAAAGCACAAGGAAGCCAGCGAGAAACAAGGACACCCGGCAATGGAAGAGCACTTGGTGGTCAGTAAAGGGAAAGGAGGAACCCACCAGGGCCTCTTTAGGAGGTCAAATGCTGCACATTTCAACCCTGTTCAAGCTGTAAATTCCTCCAGACAGAGACAACCTGCATTCTTATGGCTTTGGTCTTTAATGGTGTGAATATTGCACTGTCTTCCTGCTTAGTATGGAAGGTCTTGCTGTGTTCTGGGAAGGGATTTTTCTTGTAATCATCCTGCTGCTTTTCAACTGAGGGTGGTTTTAAATCACGTAACCAGGCTCTCACTGCTGCTAATGAAGGACCTCAAACTTCTTAGGCCACTGTTGTTGTTTTAGCTTTACATGAAGTTTTAGTTCCAGAACAAGAAGCTTTAATCTTCGGTCTTCTAAAGTTAGTGGAAATGCACTAGAACTGAATTTGTTCTGTGATCTTTGTGCAGATGGCAGGCAACCCCGACCAGCAGGAAGATAATGTGGATGAGCAATACCAGGATGAGGGGGAAGAGGAGGTAAGAACACAGACCTCCAGCACATGTGCACTTGGGTAGCAGAGTACATCTCTATTAATATTCAACCTTGGTATCCTTTATAACTGCAACAGGAACCCAAATCACTGTCAGACTTCAACAAACCTGGAAAGGCTTTTCCTATTACTCTGCTGTCCCCTTCTGGATACATTCAGGGTTTCTCATGCAATCCATCAGTCTTGCATGCCACACAGTGTTAATTGGGCAATAATTGAAAAGATTAAGCCATTCACAACACAAGAAAAAAATTCCTGGAAACCTCAAGGTCGCAGAAAACCTCATTAATCTCTAATCACACACTGCTGTTCTGGGCAAACTGCTTCCTTGGCCACTCACTCACTCTTTAGCTCTGACTTTGATTTATTGGTGCTCGTCCTGAGCAATCCAAGCTGTGTAAGGTCCTCCAGTTGGTGGAGTCAGGCAGGAGGCTGACAGCATAACAGGATCCTCCCACAGAAAATCAGGTTTACTACAGAAAGCATTCCTCTTTCACATTTGCACCTAACAGGGAAAGTGGCACGTGGAGTTGAGGGAGAGCGCTGACAGAACAGGAAGAAGTGAGAGATCCAAGAGCTGAACATCTGGGAAGCAGATTCAGCATGACCTGCTCTCTCCAAGGATAGAGCTTGGAAGAGATTGTTCTTTGCTCCCGATGCCCCACTTGCTCCTTTGTGGTTTTCCAGGAGCAGTTGGCAGAAGGATCCCTCAAATTCTGGGAGAGCTTGGCCAGAGTTACCATTAAATACCTGCATTGCATGGCAGAAGTGAAATAGTTCTGGGAGTCCACGGTGGGGTGGAAGTGTCAGTAATGGCTCTTCTGGTGCATCACGACACAACATCCTACTATGAAACACAAGGAGAAAGTAATATCTGTGTACAGTTAAAGCATGGAATGGAAGGCTAAACGTGTGGGGTGATGATGAGAGTGTCTGTGAGAATTGGAGAAGAAAGTCAGATGCTCTCAGAGGGAGGTGGGTTTGCTGATTGTTGGGCGTTTGGGGGATTTTTATCCTCCTTTAACCTCTCCACGCCACTCTCCTCCCTCCTTTAAAATCTTCATCCTGCAAAAGCAGTGCTGTGAAAATGAGCACAGCTGTGCCACAGGCCACTTTCTAAAAGGACATTAAACCACAGAGAACATCTCCCTGCTTTGTAGGTCCAGGAAGATTTGACTGAAGAGAAGAAACGAGAACTGGAACACAACGCCGAGGAGCCATACGGGGAAAACGAGGAAAATGTAAGTCCTGGGCAAACCCCCAGGTTTGGGGACACGATCAAACCCTGCACACAACTGTGAGCACGTCACAGGGATCTTACATAATTGCTGCAGCTCGCTTTAATCATAGATACACCCGAAATGTTCATGCTGTCCCAGCTTCCTTTTGCTCATCCTTCCACCTCCACAGCAATTCTTGCTGCCTGGAGGCCTTGCAAAATCTTCCCCTGTTCCTGTCCATCAGCTCTCACAGCTCCAGCTCACAGTTATTTCACTGCCCTAAAATAAACTAAAAGGGAACTGGCACTGAATATCTGGGGGTAATTTTCCCTGTTCTTTTTTTTTTTTTTTTTCTTTTTTTCCCCAATCAGGCAGATGAAAAGAATAACAGAGGGACAGACCAAGAGCAAGAAATGCAAGAAGAGAACAACCAGAAAGAAGTTCATGAAGACAATTATGAGGAGGAAGAAGAGGAGGAAGAGGAGGAAGGCAGAGCTGTTGCAGCAAAATCTCGTAGACGAGGGGAGATGTAGTCCCTGCATTTTTCTTTTTCAGGACACAAATTCCTGTTGTGTTTTACTTTGTTTTTTTTTTT